CTGGATCTGGTTTCACACCATCTGAGGAGTAGATCATGCCGAAGAACGGAATTTCCTTGGCCTTGATTATACATTTCTCAGAGTTGAAGACCAGTCCATGCTCCTGGGCAACCTGCATCAGGTTCCAGAGATTGCAATCATGCTCCTCATCTGTGCATCCGTAGACAGCAACATAATCCGCGATGCCCGTGCAGCCTGGGCAGTTCTCCAGTATGGCATCCATCCTCTGCTGAAAGACGTCCTGCGACACGACCAGACCAAATGGAAGGTGTAGGAATCGATACCTTCCAAAAGGAGTGTTGAAAGCGGTTAGCCTTGAGCTGGACTCATCCAGCCTTATTGACCAGTAGCCATTCTTGGCGTCAAGCTTGCTGAAGACTTTGGCTCCGCCAAAGTGGTGAGTTATCTTCTCAATGGTCGGCGTCTTGTGATGGGGTCGCTTGAGCGCGCGGTTGAGGTCTTTTGGGTCTAAGCATACCCGCAGACTGCCACTTTTTTTCTCCGTAATGGCAGGGCTTGAAACCCAGTCTGTCGGCTCATTTTCACGCTTGATGACACCCATCGCTTCCATCTTATTCAGCTCACTTTTGATAGCAAGTCGACGTTGTATTGGGTACTTCCGGTTTGAATGCACAACCGGCGGCACTGCAGGGTTAGCAGTGAGGTGGTACTCCTCCTTGAAATTCCCCAGCACGTCAAATGATTTAGGGAATGCGTCCTTCAGGTATTGTATGCTACCGACTCGGGGTGTCGTAGATGCTGGAGTAGTGTTAATGGCTGACATATCTATGCCAATATCGTCACATCGCAGAGTGACCACATTCATCATCTTGCAGCTTGGGAGGCCTAAGATTGCAGGACCATCAGATTCAGCAATGTAGAAGGTCATGCCCTGCCATCCGGAATTCTTGTACCTGCACTCTAGCCATATGGCAACATGCTGCTTGATTTCACCTCCATTGTATGCTGTTAGCTTTACACCAGGCATGTGGCTGACCTCGGATGACCTTGGATATCTGCTGGCATCCAGCTTGTGTGGAAACATGCGGCGGAATGTGCGCAGTGGTAATATGTTTCCCTCAGCTCCCGTGTCAACCTTAAGCTTGAGGGTGTCATGCACACGCTTGTTCGGCAGTTGTATGTCCAGAGAAAGACCGGATACCAGAGAAGCGTCGCCTGAGAGGTGTTGATCCTGCCCGCTAAGCGCGAATCTTGCGCGCAGTTCCGCGGCAAGGCGCACGCGACCGCGGGAACCTCCTACGAAAGTATCACGCGCTGGCAGCTATTGATCCGTGCGCCAAAACGAAAGGCCGGCGCACGGATCAATAGCTGCCAGCGCGTGATACTTTCGTAGGAGGTTCCCGCGGTCGCGTGCGCCTTGCCGCGGAACTGCGCGCAAGATTCGCGCTTAGCGGGCAGGATCAACACCTCTCAGGCGACGCTTCTCTGGTATCCGGTCTTT